CTAAAAGCTTCTGGGAAGCAACTAGAGGTGAGCAGCTACATTTTTCCCTCCTCTACCTAATACAGATTTTATGCACCTTAGTATTTCTAGTGCTCGAGAAGCAGCATTGGAAGAGTTTTATTTGCCCAATAATAAGCCACCAGCTGGGGAAGCCCAGGGAAGTTGCATTATTAGATTATTCTAAGTCAAAGGTGCTCCGTCCTCACAAATGCTGCATTGGAAGAAAAACAGAAACAAAACAAAATGCCCCTCCCCAAAAAAACACCACAAACCACCAAATGTGCTCAAACATTAATAAAACAGTTACAAGTCTCATGGCTAAACTGACCAGTCGCTAAGCACACTAGTGGTTTCAACTGTGGTAATTAATGCCCACTTCTTGCCTTTCAAATGTGTAGTGGTATCTTTCTCCAGCGGAGAGTTTCGAACCATGGCCACCTGGAGACTAATTAAACCAGGGCAGACATTGGAGACATTAGAAACTGCTGGATTAAGGTAACGTGAATCTGTATTGTGCCCTCTTTGAGTGTCATTCCAGTCCAAAGCTGTCCATACTTACAAGACATGAAAATTGTGCCACATGTCAAAAAAACAATACATTTCCAATTATTGATCACACTTCAGTATACATTTGGGACAGGGAATAATACATTACAGAAAGAACAAAAAATACACAAGATCTTAGTTACATAAAGCAATATAATTTGTATATAAACTGATAAATATTGTCTCCATGGTTCACTAATTCCATATACTAGTTATCTGCACATTAGTTGCTAATATCTGTTACTAGAAGAAGTTCCAGCTTCTGCTCTCAAGGTGGTCAACTCATTTCTGAGACTAGGGAGCCTGTTCGCTCGGGGGGAATGAGAACTGCTCTCTGCAATGAGACTAGGTTCCATATGAAAATTTCATTTTTTTGACCACCAGATAAGGAGTCCTATGATTAGAGAAGCCACAGCGAGGCCAAGAATCAGGATACAGATCTTCTTACGGGATTTCTTCTATTAAAAGAAGAAAAAAAAAAGCCATTGACACCAGGAACAGATGACAAGTCTGCAAGTTTACCAGCTAACGTTACCAACTTCAGTGGATTAGTGCACTTTGAACCCATTCTGATTTAGGAGAAGTGCACAGACTGTACTGCTTAAGCATTCTTTAAGCTACATGGTCTTACAGATGGTTGTTTTCCATTTTAGCACAGTCTGAGAGGTGCGTTTAAGTAAAAATGTGAGAAATTTTGCTTCTCTCAAGGGAAATGCAAATTTCACTCAACTTGGCTATAAAAAGAGAACTTTACAGCATCTAGCACATGCTTTTCATAGTAAGGTAGACACCACACCTTCAAAGGACAATGACCACCTCTAGCTATCTGGATTTCCCAACTAACACTTGTAACCACCCCTGACTAGTTCTCCGATCAGTCTCTCTGTTGTCCCTTGGAGCTGGTGTGAAGCCTGCAAGAAAACACTAAATTCCATGAACAAGGAGTTTGCAGCAGCCGTCACTACTGCTTAAGAGAGTTTCTGGGACTTACAGGACAGATCCAGGGATGGGAACTGAACAGTTAGAAAGATGCTGCAAATCCTGGTCAGCAGAATTTTTCCAAATCTGTATTTGGACTTTTGTGCAGTGTATACCTGAAGTTTGGTGTAAACTGCTACATCTACAAAATGGGGACAACATAAGAATTTGTTCCTGTTTAACTGTTCTACAACCTCCTGAGAAAGGCAAAGCTGAGCACTTAAACTCACTGAGCACACCCACATGAAGGAGCAAACTAACAGCATATCCTCTGCATTAGAAACCCAATTTCAATACTGTGTTTCTCACTCAAGTGCTTTATTTATGCCTTACAGTACAGCTTCGTGGGAGTGTCAGCTTGCACAAACTGTTTTTAAGAACATTTGGTGTGCTGCAGTGCTCACTGAGTGTCATTATGTCTGTACCATATTGCACAAATGTATGTTGACATTAATGCAAAGCACACAGAATTTACCTGATAATATGCAGCTCTCTGCAATTGCTCGCTGGCTCTTTCCACATGGACTTCTGCACTTTCCACGTTTGCCTCTATGCTGTCTACAGAAAAATGAGAGAACTCATGCTAAGAGATTTCAGAGCATGCATGTTAAAAAAAAAATCAAATGCGATACCATCATTTTTATACCAAGTATTTGAAAAACCCAATCAGAATACATAATTGAGCTAAACAAACTTTTATTATCAATATGCACTTACCAATCATATCTCCTTGGTCATGAATCATCATGGCTAAATCCTTAAATATCTGATTGACATCCAAAATGTCTGCCTGAAGGCAAGAGTTTGACAAGTTACAACCATCACTGCTTACAGTTTTGCTTAACCTCATTTTCAGTGTCTCTTACAATCGAACAGATACCATTATTCCTCGACTGAGGTGACTCTTGCTACCACGTACAGAGCTGAGGTTTAACACAGGAGCCTACACTATTCCTGCTACTCAGCATTTCTGCACATTAGCCATTAGCACAGCATGGAATTGAGATGAACATTTCCATGTGAATTGCTCCTAGCTGAGCAATGCTGATTGACAGTGATCCTCTGGTGGATCTCCAATCAACCCTGAATGAAAATGCACCTAGTCTTCTTCAAAAGGAGTAGGGAGACAGACCTGGCCATGCAGCCTCTATACACGAAGCTTCTCCCCACCCTCTCAGATTTCTTCACACCATCTCATTAGTTATCACTGCAATATCTTTAACTTAGCTGCTAGTAGTGTTAGCTGCACAGGATCTCCTGTTCACCTCTAATTGCCTGATTGCTGTTTCTCTCTCTTTAATAAGTTCAAGGTCCTGTTCAGTTATTGCCACGTCATCTTCCTGAGACTGCATTTGATTCCAGTCTTCACCACTAGAAAGAGAAAGAAGAAAAAAAAACAACAGCCCATTTCTCTGAGGGTCGATCTATTCGCATCCGTTTTACACCACCTGGTATTGCAATTTCATACAGAGATTAGACTAATTAGCAGCAACAATTACAATCACCACAAATGAAAAACAGGGACAAATCAGAAAAAACAGGCCTTGTGCACAAAGATATTCTAACAACTCAGTGAAGAAGCTGGAAAACAGCCCATGCATAAGATACTCTAGGATAGAACCATTATCTGTAGCATTATAGAAGAAGCCTTACTATTCTAATGGGTTTTTGTTTTTTAATATGCCAATATCCTTGTTCCTTCTCATCATCCCACCTAAGAAGGGAAAAAACATTCACCAGGTCTCAAGCACAACAGTATCAGGCTGAAAAAAAAATCACCATACAGGAATATAGATGCAAAGATTCCCACTTGCTATCTGGCACTGGGAGCTCAGAGCAAGTTCAAAATTACTGCACAAGCTGTGGTGCCTGTAACACAGGGTCATCTATATATTTAGCATTAAAAAAAAA